ACGATTCTTTTGATAGCAACAACCACCCCCAGTTTTCAACAGTGGATAAAGACGACCCAGAGTGTCTGCACCCAGTAACAAAGCTGAAATGAAGATCAAGTCGGATTACCCAGGAAAATATTTCATATAAAATGTACAAGATCGTGTAAAGGTAGTCGAAACGTCAGTCACCACTACCGACAACAGTTCACAGTTCTCCTTAGAACTACTCTCAACCGGATGATCAGACCACACTATCACAAACAGTAAGATACTCGTAAACATTTCAGCCGCACGTTGCAAAAGCTAATTGAAGGGTAATAAAAACAGTAGCCTCCATTTTGCCTGAAAGTATGCTCGTATATTTGTCCTCGGATATTATCTGTTCCTCGAAGCTCACAGTATTCCTCGAGCTTCGCTCTGGGAAAACTGTTAGCATCTCCGAACAGATAATGTCTGCGGACAAATACCCAAGCATATTTTTGTGCTAAATGGAGGCTATTGTTTATTTATCACACCAAACCAGCGCATTTCTAATTGTAATATTATACAATTTTGGAAACTTTGAGTAAAATGTTTTTTTGTACAAGTTTTTATGCTCAAAAAAAAAATACACAATCAGGGTAATAACAAAAAGAGTGATATCATGGTACGATACTTTGCTTGTAGCACGGAAAAACAGTTTTAATAAGGAAAAAATACTGCAATAAAGCATGGTATTGACCGAGTTTCCTAAGAGAAAGGGCTAAAAAGCTCAAGAAATAAAAATAAATTAAAGTGAAATAAAAACTTTGAGGATCACAGGGACAGGCAATAAACAGAGTCTATAAAGAATAAACTCCGGTAAGTAGGGGAGCTGTTTTTCATAAAAAAAAACAACAACAACAAAACAAAAAACAAGAAAAAAATATTAACCTGTAATGAGTTCCATTAAAAACACAATCAGAAGGTTGGATCTTGATTCCTTTTTGGGGAAATCAGAATTTATTTGCTTCTTTGTATTTCTCAACACAGCAAATAACTGAGATCTTTCTTTAACAACGAAGTCTGTAAATTCTACAAAACGAAAGATTCTATGATTGTATGATTGTGACTAAGATCCTATGATTCTAAGCGCTGTCGCTTAGCAAATAATTACAGTGTAACAAACCGAACCTGTCACAACTAAAGTTAGTTTTAGATTGTAGGACGATTTGTCGATGTGAACTGAAATTATGCTCGGGCTATGAACATAAGCTTTCTACATAAGCATGCTTTGGCTCTAGTTCACTTCAAATCTCCCACTTATTTCATCCTCTGTGATGTTAGTATATGTCCTCTGAAATCGATGAATCAAAGAGAAGATAATATTTCAGGTTAGATGCACGAGTGAAGCTTAGTAATGGAAAAAAAATATATGATAATCATAATAACAGCAGATAATGAAGATAACTGGAACAAGGCAGCAGATAAAAAAGAAAAGAAGTATCAAAAAATTAATGAGAGCCTGCTAACTAGGCAAGCAGTGGTACACCGTTTGAACCATTATAATCTGACCTACCTTTTATCTCAACAATACTTTTACGTATGTTAACAAAAATTGGATATCAGTATAATAAATACGCCAATTGGACAACGGAGGGTGTTTCAATATTTGTCGCCGCTTTGTTGATCTCATGTGACTCTTCTCTAAATTAATGCAATTTTGCTCATTTGAACCTTTGAAGATTTCATTGTGTAACTTATCTTATCGAGTCGAATAAATTTATTACTTAACTGATAGAAATCGGAAAGAATGGAAGTAAGAGCCATGGAATTACCTAAATTCAATTTCACCCACCTTTACTTCTCGCAAAAATTATTTCGGCTGATCTACGATGTCAGCAAACGAAGGTCTCATCAAAGGATCCTCGTTCCAATAAGATGTCATCTTTGTATAACTACAAATGCATTGCAGTATTCATTAATTTTTTGCACCCATTTATTCATTTAATTCACTCAATCTTAACACAGCGAAACTGCAGAGCATCTAACAGCGACATGTACTATTTCCTCTCCCGTGTAAAATGCTTCGAATTACTTGAATAATGTTAATATGGTTAACTAATAAAATGAATGTAAGCATATAAAAACGCATGCTTGAAAATGATCGAGAAGCTTACAGTTCTTCCGAGCACTGATGAGGACATGACAGCCGGTAGCCCGCAGAAAGCCGCTTTACCAAGGCAAGTGGTGCTGGAATTTCAGGGTATGGTGAGTCACCCGTTAAGCAAAATAACTGAAATCCTGTGAAAGGTCACAAGTATTGAAGTACAATGGGGTTATTGCCGTGATACCTGTCCAGTGATTGTGATCTCCTTGACGAAAAGTATTAATTATACGAAATTATTGGGCGGGTTATTATCTACTATAAACAACTCCTCATAACATGGCGGACATGTGTAAGCCACTGTGGAAAATCGCATTCTTTATCTTGCTATTCACTAAAGGAAAAGCCAAATCTCGCCTGAGTTTCCAGAACGATTTTTCTAGCCTTAGCTCCGGTATCATTTTTGATGCGGAGGAGAACAGTTTGCAGGAGAAAATATCGTCTGTGCGGCGGCAAACGACATAAATTATGCCAACACTTCGCATGGCGAGAGACAAGGCATTTACTAAAGCAAGGATTCAGTCCGACTTCTATTGCTGTTCGGCGATGTCGAGTTTAATCCTGGCGACAATTCGAGTCGAACTGAACAAATAAACACGAAGACAAAGCAAAAATCTCGAAACAATGTCACCATTGCTCATTTGAATATTCGGTGGCTCAAGAATAGAGATCATTACATCTTGGCT